ATCTTACCTCTTCACAATTACAATAGGTGATACTCGAGGACTAGTACTCAGTTCTACCATTCTTTGTTTCTTTATGGCTTCTATCTCCTTGAAAACCTCAGCCTGTTATACAAGTGGGAATTGTTGGGATCTGACTAACTGACCTATTTGGGATGCATCTCCAGTATCAATCTTATGAGATATTTTATTTGTTCAGCCAAAGTCATGAGGTCCACTGAAGAAGACGTATTGGTGTTCCGTGAGCCTGTCATGTGATCTGTGACATTGATCAGCCGTATTACCTCCACTGTTCTGATTATACAGTTCTTGTGAGGTGATAAACTGCCCTTATATGAGGATTTCACATCAGACTTTCTACTTCTTCTCTCAAAGGTGGTTACTTTTGATGTTGTTTGATACTGAAGTGCTAATTGTACACCTCCACATTTTGACTCGAATTTTATGGTTCAGTATTTCCATGGTGCTGATGAGTGCTTGGTTCTATTACAGCGCAGTCTCTAGATGTAAATTTATTTCTAATAAGTCTTGGTATCAGTATTTCACTTCTTGGTGGTACAGTGATTGCCTTCCTTGTTTTCACTGCAGGTTCAACCTCTAGTGTAGTAACTGTTATCTAGTGCACAACACTTTCCTGATCACAGAAAGTGAAGCTATACGAAGCTAGTCTAGTCTCGCATATATATCTCTGCTTGAAGTCCATTCCCAATGTGCAATCTTCCTTATTGCCAATCACCCATACGTGATGAGGTATGGAGAAGCCTCCTACAGTACAGGTAACTTCCAGCTTCTCTCTTGCTGGAACTTTATGCCCACTTGTTGTTTGCATCATACCACTTTCTTTTATCATTGTTGGAGGAAATGTTCCACATTTCATTATCTAATTGGGTGGAACTGTTGTACTGTAAAATCATTGTCACTCAACACACTGCAAGGCTTCCCACCAATAAACTCGTAGACTGGTTTCTTTAAATAATGAACTTAACTTGCTTAGGGCAGATGGGGTATTTTCAGCTGAACCTTGCCCCATAAGTCCAGCTAATTTATCTTTCCTGGTGTCTAGTTAGTCTTTTGTTGTTCTTTTAATTTGGTTGGGCTCGAAGACTCATCTTTTTGGTATTAACAAATGTTGATTCCACAAAGTCTTGCCTGTAATGAAAATGTTTTTCACATCTATAACAGTTCCCTGTTTTGGTACCCTTTGGAAGGGGTTCTTATTCCATATAGGCTTTAATATATAGATCCTTGCGACATGTCCTTTCAAGTTACATCCATTGCCTTGTGGTTCATTTCTTCTATTCTGTGTAACTAGCTGTCTAACTAACTGTAGAATTTCCTTTAAAGATGTACTCCTACTTTGCTTTAATCTAACTCTCAAATCCTTGTCTGTTATGGCACCTATAAACTGGCCACGTGGCGACAAGATCCTCATTTCATGCTCTTAAAGTAGTTGGGCAAGCCTTACCAAATCTTCCACAAGTTCCACTAAGATTTCGTCTTTCTTCCATGTGCTGTTACGAACCTGTTGAATAAAGCAGCTAGCATTGTTGTTATGGTTCTCAGCTATAAGGTTACTTAATATCATTAAAGCTGATCTTTTTAACTGGACAGCAAGATCAATAGATTGTTGTTCACTATTCCACCTATTCACTTTGAAAATGATTTCGAACTGAGCCAGATATTCTTCCCACGGTAACTTTCCATCATAGTCAGTGGTTTCTCAATTGGGCAATGTTGTTGAAATGGCTAGCTAAATTTTGGAATTGGATTTGTTAATAGCATGGCTGGAGTAATACAGAACGATCCTGCAGTAACAGATGGTACAACAATTGTGGTAACAGGTGCAAAATAATAGGTTCTCCTATTCCATATTCATTAGTAAATGGTGTTTTAAGTTGGAATTCGTAGGCAGATGCAGGAGGAAGTGTTTCTGCTTTGATATTTACATTTATCAGTTCTTTTTCCAAATGTATTATGCTGTCATTGCTGTTCTTTTTTACCTCATTGATATTGTTGTTATAACCTTTCTGTACCTCATCAATTTTGTTTTACAGCCTTTCTGTACTTCACTGTTGTCTTTCCGTGCTTCTTCAGTCTCGTTGTAATCCTTCTGTACATCTTGGATCTTGTTTCAGATTTATATTTGTTCTTAATTCTTCTTTAAATATTATGTCTCTTTCTTATAACTCCTGTCCTAACTTCCCGTCTCTTACTTCTTGATATTCTTTTAATTTTCTTATTGATATACTTTTATCTCTCTATTTCGTTCTTCTCATTTTCTATCTATTTGTTATTGACCCTTTTTAAAAATTTCCTGTCTCTTTCTTCTAGATCTTATTTTAATTTTCTATTTCTCTCTCTTCTTGATTTTCTTTTTATTGTTTCATGAACTCCAGTAAATTTCTAATATCGCCTCATGAGGTCATTTTCAAAGTTGAAGTTTACTCTAGGTTCTATTTTATTTTCACTAAAATATTCCCACTTCTGATACAAGTGGTGTAATGTGTTCTATTTTGGCGTTGGTTCTTTTAGATTATTTGTTAAAGATAAGGCCAAGTCCAATTCACATAACGATAATAAATTAGATTATTTCTTCCATAACATTTGCTACAGACTACTTTTACTTGTACACAGTTCTGGGCCTATAAAATTTCCGCTTTCAACAGAAATTCTTTGCTAACCGACTGATTAAACTAATAGACTACAAACAATGAATATATAAGATCACTCGATAATTTTTCTGAATTCTCATTCACTACTCAAATGAACTCAACTAACTAACTGCTTACTCGTATTTATACGGTTGTATCCATGTTTAGCTATTAGACGAAATTACCAAGTTGACATCATTGTCATTGTGAACTTTCTAGGTATTCTAGGGCCATTGTTATGAACTTACTTGATCTTAACACCATGCGACTTCTAGCTAATATCTAAATTAAAATATAGTTTACAACAATTCTAATTATGTAAAGTGGTGTTGGAATACAATCACCCTTTGTTTTAATAAAGTACAAGTTATGGTGATAAAATTACCTTTCATTCGAATAACGTACAAACTGCGGGGATGAAGTTTACTTTGCTCTATAGAAAACGTACAAACTGCGGGGATGAAGTTTACTTTGCTCTATAGAAAACGTACAAACTGCGGGGATGAAGTTTACTTTGCTCTATAGAAAATTTGTACGTTTTCTATAGAGCAAAGTAAACTTCATCCCCGCAGTTTGTACGCTGCGGGGATGAAGTTTACTTTGCTCTATAGAAAATTACAAATTGTGGGGATAAAGTTGCTTTGCATTCTAATAAAGTAAACTTAACACTTTTAGTTTGTTTGCAGTTAAGCACAAAGCTACACAATGGGCTATCTATGCTCTGCCCATCACGGGTATCGAAACCCGGTTTCTAGCGTTGTAAGTCCGCAGACATGCCGCTGTGCCACAGGGGAGCGAGGATGAAGTAAGTTGGTGTCGAGACATGCGAAGTGCCTTTTAAGACCTTTGATCGGTTTTAGAATACAAAATTGAATTGTGTACTAAACAACGTTGATCGTTTGAATATTTTAATATATTATAAATATTTCCACAAGTTCCTTGAGCGTTAACTTTTTAATATTATACTACAGGATATCCACTTATGTTTTATCTATAGTGCAAGTGCTCTATTTTAAATTAAAGTTGAACAAACGTTGAAAAAATGTTTGTTAAAAGAGTTGTCTATTTTTCTGTGTCTGTGTAGGCATGCTTCACCTAGTGGTTAGCGTGAGCGGGCTATGAATCTGAGGGATAATATTTTACGTCCCGTTGCAGCAAAAATGAGCTCCGTAGTTTGAGGCTGTTAGTACGGTGTAAGAGTAATGATCAACTCATGTCATCCCTCTAGTTTTAGGGACGGCTGTAAAAGCCCTTTGTATAGTTTTTCGCTAAAATTACTAAAAAAAAAAAAAATTTAATCAAACAGTAGCCATTTTTAAACTTTACACATACAATTTATAATTCTACGGTTACTTATGTTATGTGTATG